GCAAGCAAAACTGCCACCTCCTTGATTTATCGCCTGTTTCTTCAGAAATACTGTCTGGCATCATGTTCTACATTTTCCTTGCTACGTACATCATTCAAACCTTTTGCTATATTTAAGGGATTTTTAAAAAAGTGAATTGGGTTTAGCAATCATGGCTGCAATTGCAGTACAGAGCGATGGAATCAGGCTTCTTTCAACACAAAACCCAGTGGGATCCTGGTGCTTATTTTGAGAGCCGAGTTTCCCTAGCCACGGGGAAAGGTCACCATGGAGCAAACAATTCCTGTGATCCTCCTGGGGCTGCTTGGTTCTTATAATCACACCATGCATGAGGTGAAACAGAAATCATAGAAACTTTTTTTCTTATAGTATTATTACATTTGTACTTCAGCTTTCTTCCACAGAGCTCAATGTTAAGTGCATAGTTCTCTTCCTCCTCATTTTATCCTCACAGCAACCCTGAGAGGTAGTATTACGTTGTGGGTGAACATATCAGATGACACAGCGATTCTTCAAACAGCTCTTGTTTATTCACAGGCCAGAACAGAACTGAACTGAAGGGTTCAGTCAGCCTGCTTATATAGAGCTCCAGTACAATGTAACTGTAACAACTTTCTGTAACTATCCAATCACTGAACGTCACTTTCGATCCCTTATTTGCATATGTGGACCTGAGTAAAAACTATCTACAGTATTCCCCTGCTGGCCCAGGGTGATAACTTCAGTACATAACAGGTAGGTTAGACTGAGAGAGGCCCTATGTGAGCTTTGTGGCTGTGAGCTTCGTGGCCGAGGGGGAATTTGAACCCTGGTTTACCAGGCCCTAGTCCAACCCTCTAAATTCTACACCACAAATAAAATCTTTCCAGGAATATTAACAGTACCTGCATGTTAAGTGATACAGTTTTTTTCTAACAGGGAGACAGATCAATCTTCCATACCCTGCAAGCGTCCTGGGGAAAAATGGGGCATTCAGTTTTCTTGTGCAAGAACACGGTAACCATTTGGGGGTGCTGGGATCTCGCATGATTTCACACTGAGCTCTCACCCAGAAAAAAAGCACTTTCACACCGGAAAATAGCACATTTTGGGGGACCACAACCTCAGGTGGCGCCCCAAAACATGGCCCTGAAAAAAAATGTATTTCAGGCTCTGTGATCTCACACAGGTCACATGACCTGCTGATTTTGGCACTCAATATGTTGGAGGGTATGGTCTTTACATGTTCACATGTGAAGAAAACGGGGGGGGGGCAGCAGGTCTATCAGCTCAGGCTGGGTGGGGACGTATCCTCTTGCAAGAGAGATCTTGTGCCTGAATTTGCAATTCCCCTCTGCCCTCCTTTTCCTTTTTCCTTTTGCGTCATGGATTTTCAATTGTAAGCCTGTAAGGGATTTCCATTATCTTTGTGAGCCGTGGTGGTACAGCATGCTGCATTGATGCTTTTGCCTTCGCAGCACACACATCATAGCAGGTGGCTGGACTTGCGGTGTAGCCCCTGGGGTGTGTGGACATATGCACACTCTTAAAAACATGGGAAGCTGCCTCACATCATGCCATACAGTTTGTCCATCCAGCCCCATATTGTCTGTTCCGACTGACAATTTCCAGTGCCTGGGGCAGAGACAGCAGTCGTCTTTCTCTTCTCCTGGAACTTGGATCTTTTAACTGGAGATGCCGTTGGGGACTGAACCTGGAACCTTCTGCAAGCACAAGTGCTTTACTATGAACCTTCAGTCCTCCCCTTGTGTATGGACCAGAGGATGATAAAAAACTCGACTCACCAATATTTTCCTTCTTTCCCCCCTTCTTTCTGCTTTGCATCCTTCAGTGCCTATAATCCTGGCAATCGGTCAAGAGCATAAAATTCTGACTTGGCTTATAGAGCCCAGGCTGATTTAGCTGTAGTTCCTTCATTTGCTGCTGAATGCTGTCCCCACTGCTCTTTGCCTGTGGTCTAAGGGAGCCCGAACAGAGGTCTGGGGCTGGAAGCAAGCAATGGTTTTCATGAGGCTATTTCTCTGCCCTTTCTGGTCAGACCACTTTTGCAGATGTGTGTGTGTGTGTTGCAAAACAATGCAAAAAGTCGTGGAAGCTGTTTGTCACAGGTGAAAGCACTCTCTAGTTACTTCCCTAGCCAGGCAGTTCAGCTGTCAAAATTAACCTTTCCCAACCTCTCTCCTTCCCTATCAAATGTTTCCCATTCAGCCGTGATTGGCTAAGGGCCCCCAAGAGGTTGATGGGTGCTGTCTTCTTTCGACTGAGTGTATGTAAGCCACTCTGGGGAGGCTTTCTGGCAGAAGACTGGAGTGCAAATGCTATAAATAAATAAAGAAAAATGAAAAAGCTTCCATGGGTGCCAAATTGCTTTTTTAAAAAGTCTAACAGCTGCCTGGAAATCACTTGGGGGTGGGTGCAGCTGGACAAGGAAGGGTTTTAACCAGGGCTACCTATGACAACCTTAATGATGATAGATGCTGGTGAGGACGACTTTTTCCTTTTGCAGCAACTGAAAGATGAGCTGCAATAGGAGGTCCTCCTGTCCCACCATCTCTGTCATCCCCTGTCCCAACCTTCCCCCCCAAAAATCACAAATGCGAGAGTGTCAAGGGAGCCTGGTAGATGAACGAGCTGCCCCAGAAGCAAATGACGACTGAGACCGCCATGGAGCTGAACTTTACAAAACTGTTATTTCTCAGGACGTATCAAGTTCCCGCAGGGGAGCCGTATCAGGTTGTCGAATGCACCGCCCGTCACCAGACAGCTGACTCACTCCTTTTAAAAGAAAATAAGAGAAAGTATATGTACTGGGAGAGTTTAGATGCAACAGTCTGGGACGTGTGCAGGCCACCCAGACTAGGCTGGTCGGGCAACAGATTCTGCATCCTGTACACAACCACACCAGAGAATGCAATGGTGGTGTATAACCAAGGGGAAAGTGCAGTTTCAGATTTCAGCTTCCATTTTAGCAGAAAACAGAACAGGGTAGGGGGCTGGACAAGAGGCCAATCCCCAAAGGACACAGAGAAAAACTGCCAGTCATATCAGGTTAAAGGCGAACAGAGAAAAAGGAAATGATTTTAAGTCTGTTCCGCCACTAGGTGCTACTGTTGGTCCATGGAATTTGATACTGACAGTTGCTTCATCAAACACACACCTTTCTAATATTACTTTGCAATGTACAGTGTTATACTTTGAATGAATTTAGTCTCTGGTAAACTCTACAGAGAATATGTTACATGAAAATCAGTGGCAATGTATGAAAGGAAAAAAGCTAGCAGACACGCAAGGAAAAGCTACAAGGCCTGAGAGAGCAGACTGAAAAAACCCCTAAGTGTTTTTCACTCAGTATATAATTAATGACAGCGAACAGGAAAAGAAAATCTTCCACACATTTTGCAGTCTTGAGGAAATAGCATGTTAACTGTGCTCTAAGTAGATTTTTTTACGTTAGCATAGCGCACAGAGCATGTAGCGCATTAAAAAATTTAACGAAAACAGCTATAGCAGCAGCAAGAGGACTACTTCTATTAGTGTACTGCTGTGGGTTAAACCACAGAGCCTAGGACTTGCCGATCAGAAGGTCGGCGGTTCGAATCCCCGCGATGGGGTGAGCTCCCGTTGCTTGGTCCCTGCTCCTGCCAACCTAGCAGTTCGAAAGCACGCCAAAGTGCAAGTAGATAAATAGGTACCGCTCCGGCGGGAAGGTAAACGGCGTTTCCGTGCGCTGCTCTGCTTCACCAGAAGCGGCTTAGTCATGCTGGCCACATGACCCAGAAGCTGTATGCCGGCTCCCTCGGCCAATAAAGCGAGATGAGCGCCGCAACCCCAGAGTCGGACATGACTGGACCTAATGGTCAGGGTTCCCTTTACCTTTACCTTTACCAGTACTACTAAATGTGCTCGACATAGTTTGTCTTATAAAAGTTTCTTATTAATGCAGGAAATTGAGCCTCCTGGAATAACAAAAGCATTGCTCAAAGCCAGCTAAGGTGACGAGGAAGAACAGGGACTCATTGCATCTTACTAGCATTAGCTTCCAGATTTTTCTCTCCTTTGGTTTTTTTGTAGCTGGATAAGCATGTGCTTCATATCTCCTTTTTGTAAACCACTTTGAGGTGTTTTATACAATCAATGGTGTATAAATTTTATGAAATAAATGTGTGGCTGATGAAATGCCGATTAATGTGTTGCTCTTTCGTAATTGGGGGGACAAAACCTTTCAGATTAATTTTCAACCAAAACAAAACATCCTTTAACATGTTCCATCTTTCTAAAACGTTTGGATAGCCTCTCATCAATTTGAAATGGACTGTTGCTTGTAGATAGCCATTTAAGTATGTTGTTATTCTTCTGAATACTTGGAAAATAAAGATTTATGGAGTACAGTAACTTCTCTTTATGTAAAAGTTTGGGGTGTTTTTTTTAATGATAAGTAGTTCAACTTGGTGAACAAGGGGTTTAACAGCATAATTCTGTACTTGTTTACTCAGAACTAAGTTATCTTTCTCTTTTACTATAACCTTTTTTTTAAAAAAAAAAGCCGACTGTTGTAATGTTCTTTTGGGAACTGCTAGGTGAGGTCTACCTGAAAAACAGTACATCAATATCTCAAATAAAATAATTAATAAATATCCCCAACATACTACTGAGTAACACCCAGTTTGGCAGATCTGTGGGTGATTTGCAGATTGATGAGGATTCTGACTCCCAGTCATTTAACAATTGCAACAACAAATGATATGCACACACTAAATTCTACTGCAGAAATGAAGAAAGCTTGGGGATTTTGTGTGTGGAAGGGGCTGGGAGTGTCACTCAATTCTGCTACTAGAAACAAAGTCCTGGTCTCAGAATTTTCTTAATTCTATGTCTTTTGTAGAGGACACACGCCTGTTGTACTCCAGAAGACGCATTAACCCCAGGGAGGGTGGCGATCCTATATACCTTTACCTGGGAGTAAGCCCCACTGAACCCAATGGGGCATACCTGGCAGTAAACAAATGCAAGTCCTCCCTAATTAAGCTCGGAATTCTATGCACATTGACCTAGAAATAAATCCCATTTGAACACAGTGGTCGTTCACACGTGCAAGACTGGGCTTTAAGGATGTGACCCTTTGTCTGAGTAAACATGGAAATACCCGGCTGCTATGAAACGAGCCGTCTCCCTTTTTCTCCGCCGAGTCTTCTCTCCGCCCTTAGCAACCGCGCCTGGCAACGTCGCGTCGCTGGGTTGGGCGGAGTCAGCCGGCATCATTCGACCCGCCCTTTCGGCCGTTTGCTCGGGTTGGTGTTCTACGCGAGGCCGAGGCTATGCGGCCTAGTCCGACGGGGGGATGCTGAAGGTGAAGATACTTTTCGTTGGCCCCAGCGAGGTGAGTGAGCGAAATAGCGCCTGGGGTCCCTCTTGGAGGAAAGGAAAGCTCCCCCCCGGTCTCACAGTCGCCTCCCCAGCCCTTAAAAGCGCTGTGAACCATAACCATCTAGGGGCAAAGCTTCTTCTTGACTTTTTCAGATTAGGACAAATCCAGTATTTTGTTTCCAGCAGAATGCCTTTGGGAAGCATATATACCCTGACGTGATGGAGGCAGCTATTCCTGGCTTTTTGCTTTGAGCACCTGGTTTTCTGGTACACTCTCTCTGAACATGGAGGTTCTGTTAAACGCTGGGCTAATAACTGTTAATAGAACTGCACATACCACGTTGTTTTTAGGGGTTTAGAGACAAAACCGTGGCATATCTGTGTCCATCTCATCTCATTAACATCTGTTACTACAATGTGCTCTCTGTGGCGCTTCCTCTGTGTTTGTTCTGCAAGCTGCAGTTAGTTCAGGATGCTGCAGCAGTGTTGCTAGTAGGAGCGAGACCATGTCCACATATAACACCTGTGCAGGTTGCCAATTTGCTACTGCGCATATCTCAAGGTGTTACTATTACTATATAAAGCCCTAAACAGCTTGGGACTGGTTTACCTGCAATATCGCCTTTCCTCATATATGCCCGCTTCAGTCTGTGGAACTAGCAATGTTACAGGTGCTGCCTAATACACCTTCTGCATTTATAATAAATTTATATTTTAGTGTGGCAGTTCTTGCACTTTGGAACTCCCGGCTTATTGACATCAGGCGGGTGCCTTCACTGTACTCTTTTCAGCACCTGCTAAAAGCATTCTTGTTTAGACGAGCCTACCCAAATTTGTAGAATGTTTGCTTTGATCTGTTTTAGGTTATCACTGATTTTAGTTATTATTTGAATGTTTTACCGAGTTGTTTTCAATTGTTTTATACTGCAAAGTTAATTGTATTATTCTTTCTATAAACTGCTTTGAGGTTTTGTTTTACAATCGAGTGCTATATAAATTTTATGAAATAACAAATAAAAAAACGATCTTAACATTCAGGGAGGATCGTAGCTTAGGGGTCAGAAAACATACTTTGCATGCAAAAGATCCCTGGTTCAGTTTCTGTCACCTCCAGGTAGGATTGAAAGAGACCCCTTTCAGAGAATGGAGAGCTACTGCCAGTCAGTGCAGACAATACTGAGGTAGATGGACCAATGGTCTGACTTGGTAGCAGGAAGCTTCCTATTTTCTATTGCTAATCTTGCTTCTGTATTCACTTGTGATAGGCTGGAAAGTCTGTCTTGGCAAACTTCTTGTCAGAGAGCACCGAAGGCATTGGTAGTTACCTCCCAACACATGCAGTAAGGTAAGTTTCAAGCAGGTAGAGTGGAACTGCTAGCAAAACATGGATTCCCCACCCACCATACAACAGGGTGCAGAACCTGGTACCCTCTGGAAGTTGCTGGACTACAGCCCCCATCATCCCTGACTGCTGGCTGTGCTAGCTGAGGCTGATGGGAGTTGGAGTCCAGCATCTGGAGGTCCACAAAAAGTTCTCCATCTTTGCTAAACAGCATGGTTGCAAAATCTACAAGATTTCCTTGACATCAACTTCTTGGTTTTCTCTTCATATCAAACCAACCAGGCCTTCTTCAAGTGATGAAGTGTTGGTATTTGTTACAGTCCAGTATGTGTGGATTACTAGTAAAGTCTTAAAATGGTACATGAAATGGCGGAAGGGGGAATGCCTCATAACAGTGGGCAACTGCTCCAGTGGCAAGTAAGCCAAATGCAGAGGTTGGATGGAATTTGGGGCTGTGAGATTTTTTACTTTAATTAAAAAATAATAATTTAACATGCCTTTCAGGGCACACTGCTTACAAAGGTGGCTTACAAAGCTAACAGCACATTCCTAACTAAATATGTCCCGTCACAAGTAAGTTCTGTTGAATGTAGTGGGACTTATTTCCAGGTAAGTGGGGATGGGTTTCATCTTTAGACACATGAAAATACAATTACGAAACACGCACACAGCATGGGTAACTAAGAACTGACATTGGAAAAAGGGACCAGCAAATATGGATGGGAGCTCTGTCCTTCAGGTAGGCCCAAAGAATGCCAGCCTTATTGATTTGTATAAAATACGTATTTTTAAATTCTAGGATCCTAGAATACGAGATGCCAAATTTCGGTGGAAACGGCAAAGGAGCAGGGTGTCGGTTTGAACTGTGGGATTGTGGAGGAGATCAAAAGTAAGTGGATCACTTACGTATCCTGCCAACTTTCTCAGAGTAAGTTGGTGCAATTCAAACGCTACACCAAGCCATGGTTAAGGAAGGGGAGGGGAGGCTATTCATGAGAAGTTGGGGCAAAGCCCTACCATTATTTTTGATCATTTAAGAAGCAGAGGGTACTTGGGCATGTTGGAAACATGCACTTGTGTAAGGGGCATTCTGTAAGGGTGGTTGCTGAACCCCCTTCTAAAAAATGAAATGCCAGACAAGGCACAGATTTGGTGGCCTGCTTGCACAATGGAACTTCTCTTCTCTGTGCATTCCTTGTATTGCCCCTAAATATATTCTGTAGGGTTGGAAGAAGAGGCGTAGGCACATGCAGCGGGAGCAGGGGAAAGGGAATTTCCATTGTGCAGGCGGAAATCATTCTGCTTACTTAGTTGGATACAGCCCAGTATGTGCAAAGCAGCTGCAGAATCTCAACTGAGATTTTTTTAAAGCAAAAAAAATGATAAAGGTAGGTAAGAACCTAAGAAGAGTCCTACTAGATTGGGCTAATGGCCCATCTAGTCCATCATGTTGTTCTCGCATTGGCCATGCAGGTGCCTGTAGGAAACCTGCAAGCAGGATTTGAGCACAAGAGCACTCTCCCCTCCCTTTGTTTCCAGCAACTGGTATTCAGAAGCTTTGCTGCCTCTGACTATGGAGGCAGAGCAGAGCCATCATGGCTAGTAGCAACTGATAGTCTCATCCTCCAAGAACTTGTCCAATTCTCTTTTCAAGCCATCCAAGTTGGTGGCCATCACTGCCTCCTAGGAGAGAGAGTTCCACAATTTTCTGCATGAAGAAGTACTTTACTTTTTTTCTGTCCTGAAAAAATCTTCCAACTTTTGGCTTCATTGGATGTCCATGAATTCTAGGATTATGAGAGGAGGAAAAAAATCTCTCTATTCGCTTTCTCCATGCCGTGTATAATTTTATAAACTTCTATCGTATCATCTCTTTCTCACCCTTTCTCTCAACTAAAACGTCCCAAGCACTGCAAGCTTTTCTGATAGGGGAGTCGTTCCACCCCCTTGATCATTTTGGTGGCCCTTCTCTGCACCTTTTTCAACTCTACAATATCCTTTTTGAGGTGAGGCGACCAGAACTGTACACAGGTGATGCCAGCCGTGCTGTTTCTCTGTTGCGCTTCCAGATTCGAGACTTGCTGGCCAGCACTGATGAAAGATTCCCATGGGGTCGTCATTGTTTTCAACCAAGACTCACCCACCCATCTGAAGGAGATTGAAATGTGGCACTCCTGTTTTGTGCAACAGCAGCAGCTGCTGGAGAGCCAGTGCCTGCTCATTTCGCATCACAAGCCAGGCAGTGCAATGGACCCGGAGAATCTCACCTTGCGTAAGACCCTGATGCCTTGCTTTCCTGGCTCCTACCTATATTTGGTGTTTTGTCAGAATTGCCAATAGTTTTAATGGTTTGCTTCTTAAACTTCAAAGCTCCACCGCTGAACAGGCTGCAGGTGGTCCACTCTAGCCTCGAAGAAGATCCTGAAGATTTCCGGATGGAATTTGTGAAGTACCTCAAGGGCATTACCAAGTTGGTGAATGAGAACCGAGACAGAGAGGAGATGCTGCTGATCACTTAAAAGCAGGAGGAACGCTGCTGCAAAGAAAATAAAAGAAATACCCATTTAAACACACACACACATACACTCCTGGTCTTTTGCTTTCTACCTAATTTGGATTCCTCAGGCTTACACTTAAAGAAGCAGTTTTACAGCAGTGGAAGTGGCATGCATGTAGTGTAGTGGTTTGAGTGTCTGATTAGATCCTCGGAGACCAGGGTTCCAGGCCCCACTCGGCATGAAGCTCATTGGGTGACCTTGGGACAATCACTCTCAGCCTAACCTGCCTCATAAGGTCATTGTGAGGATTCAGTGAGGAGTGGGAGAACTGTGTATGCCACCTTGAGGTCATTGGAGAAAAGAATGGGATATAAATGCAATAAATAAAATAGACGTTCTTAGCTTAATCAGGGATGAGAAACCCTTTTCAGCCCACATACACTTCAAGGGGTCTCATGCCAGTGGCGAGCAGGGCCAGAGGCAACACTGGGTGAAGCAATGAATGTAAATTTTAACTTTGTACAGTAGGCTGGTCTATAAATACATATACACCCTTTCCCAGTATGTCTTATCTCAGACCAAGGACACATTCTAGCCCAACAAAAACATGGAGGGTACAAAGCAGGGTTGGTGAGGGTGTAGCTGGGAAGGGGGAGTAACCTGAGGAGAGTCCCAAGGGCCAGACAGAGCAGCTTAAAGGGCCACATGTAGCCACTAGGTCTGAGGTTCAAAAGACACTCTTTTTTAGTCTTGCTCTTTCAGCTGGCTCATGCCAGAGCACTGGACCAAGTGCTGTTCGTTTTTTGGTCTCACACTCATCAGCTAGCTCTCACAAGAACTTGGGACCAAAAGATGCTTGTTTTTGTTCTCACACTCTCGCATAACACAGCTGGCTTGTGCCAGAGTACTGGACCAAAAGATGCTTGTTTTTTGGTCTTGTGCAAAACAGCTGACTCCCGTGAGAGCTCAGGATCCAAAAAAACAAGCATTCCAATTTTGATCAGTGGGATGTTGGAGGGGTATGGGTGACTAACAGGCTAAGCTGGCTACACCTTGGTTTGTTTGTTCCTGCATGAGTGGGTTATGTCCACCAGTGCCTAGTTTGTGCACACCACAGTTTATTAAGCAAAGTATGGCTTACTATTAAGGATAAAAGTGGCTGCTGTGCTGCACTGTGGGAAAAGATGATTCAAGGAAACCATGGCCGGTGGAACATCAAGGGCCTTTTCTTGAGCAATGATGGTGCGCCAGACTGTAAGTGAACTCCCAAGTTTTCAATTCTATGATTCTTTCTGCTTGCATCTGTATTTCCCACAGTGAACAAAAAGGGGAAGAACTTGGTAGGCTTTGAGAATGCCACATAAGACACAAAGATCTGTAATGCACACCATCACTTCCCCTTTCCCCCAAAAATAGAGCTGATCTGTAAATCATATGGATGCCTACCCCTTTGCTGAGGAATTCCATATTTTATTGAGGGAGACAAATTCTAACAATTTTGGTCCCAGTTCATGTTCAGCTACAGCTGAAGTTTGTTCTGGTTTCTTGTTTATGTCCATAAAAGTTTTGTAACCAGCTCACACAATAAAATTTAAAATAAAGAGGCACATTATAATGATTGATTGTACAGCTGCACAGAACAAGCTAACAAAAGTCTAAAACTCGCTTTGGGGCAATACCTTTATTAGGTCAACTATAACGAGCGCCGCAACCGCAGAGTCGTCCACGACTGGACTTAATGGTCAGGGGTCCCTTTACCTTTATAATGTCACAGAATAGTGCCTAAGAGTTCTCAGTAACTTGATAAGTCAGCAATAAGGGCTAGGAAACCTATCAGACGGGTCTGCTCTACCCACTACCCCCACCCCATGTTATTCTAAGAGCTTCTAGATCAGGAGTGGGGAACATTCCTTTCTAGGCAACCTTTTGTAGCTCACATGCCAAGAATTTGTAAGCCTGCAGGTAAAGTGGGCACAGCAGCAAATGTAGGGTTGCCATATGTCCAGGCAGAAATCGCTGAAGGTCTGGGGAAATCTGTAGGCATAACAGCCTGTGTCAGTAATGTAGATCTTGGTGAATTTCATGAAAAATAGGTCAAAAAGCTCAACTAGTTTGGTTAATATTATTAAAAAGCTCAAAAACCAACAACTTTTGTGTCCAGATTTTCACTTTTTAAAATATGGCAACCCTAAGCATTTTACAATTATATACAGAAGCCTTCTTTCTACACGTACACAAACATCACCACCCCATCCTCCATCCTGGCCTGGTAAGAAGAAGAAAAAAGAGAAATTTAATAAGGCAGCTTTCAAATGAGGCCACGAGCATGAATTTGTAGCTGAACTTGTAGACAGCATACTTTTGGGGGTACACACATATACACACACTCATCTGCTTTCCATCTATTCTGAGCCATACACCACATGGAACCTTTTAAACAAGAGGACAGGAATAACATGGTTTCCTGATGGTACTTGCAAAGATTTTCAACTGCGGAAGAATGTCCTACATTTCCAAAGCAGAAAAATCATAAAGTCACTATGGGCCTGTTTCTGCTTAGCAGTGCATTTGCACGCTTTTACTCTAGTATGTGGTCATTAAGACCAAGTGTGTAGAAAATACCAGACGTGGTCTTTGGGTGTTTGTGAGATGCAGCCTGAAAGATGTAAGTAAGGGCACTGAACTATTCAAAGATTTGTTACAATACTGTAGGGAATCGTTGCTGGGAAGTTAGGGGGATTCCAAGCAAAACTACGGCAGATGACACATTTCACAAAGTAGAATAGTCAGAAGGGTCAGACTGTGGCTGCTAGATAAACTTCCTAAAATAAGGGACCCTAAAGCTTTGGTATAGTCTCCTATGTCTGCATTGGGAGTACAGTGGTACCTTGGTTTAAGAACAGCTTAGTTTATGAACAACTTGGATTAAGAACGCTGCAAACCCAGAAGTAGGTGTTTTGGTTTCTGAACTTTGCCTTAGAAGCGGAACATGTTCCGCTTCCTGTTGAGTGTAAATTGAGTCCTCCGCTGCTATGGGAAAGCACGCCTTGGCTTAAGAACGCTTTGGTTTAAGAATGGACTTCCGGAATGGATTAAGTTCGTAAACCAAGGTACTACTGTACATACAGACACTCTGTTTTTCAAACACACTGACCAGTGTCCAACACACATTAGACTCACGTAAGCCCATTGACATAAATGTATTTGGCAAAACATGGACATCTTGTTGTGTCAACAGAGTAAATTTGAATGGAAGAGAATTATGGTGCAAACAAAAATATTGCCACACCTGCTTGGTAATTATTTTCACACAGGAAGAAACTAACTTGCCACCTTGCCATGCTTTTTCTTTACAGTCACAATTCTTCTTGAGTCTTGTGAACAGACCCCACAAGGGGAGAAAGAGGAGACTGACAGGAGATAGCCAAGTCATCTTCAAATATCTCAAGGGCTGTCACATGGAAGATGGAGCAAGCTTGTTTTCTCCTGCTAAGGAGGGTAGGACCTGAACCAATGGCTTCAAGTCACAAGAAGGGAGATTCTGACTAATTATCAGGAATAACTTTCTGAGGGTAACAGCTGTTTGACTCACCTTCATTGGAGGTTTTTAAGCAGAGGCTAAATGGCCATCTGTCATGGCTGTGATTCCTGCTTTGCAGGGGGTTGGACTGGATGACCCTCAGGGTCCCTTCCAACTCCACAATTCTATAATTGCATGTAAACCCTAGTGCAGTTTTACCATGTGAAAGCACCCGTTTTTGTGCGCAAATTTGCAAAAACCCAGCCTCTATTTCCCCACCCCTCTGCAGTTTGAACAATGCTCCCCCGCGCTTAATTTTTGTCACTCGGGCTTTTGAGCCCACTGGCGCGTAACGTGTGAACGCGCCCTTAATTTCTGTACGCGTGTACCCCTTCCTTTTGAAAAAATACCCACCCCCCGCCCCGGGAGTCCTTGCCAGCCACAGCTCCCCCAAGGCCGGCTTTCCCCGTGGTTATAAACCTCCCCGGCTGAGGCTCCCCTCCCGCCGCCCGCCAGCCTCCCCTCAGACGCTGGCAACCCGGCGCATGCGCAGAGCTCCCCCTCACTCTCCTCCTCCGCCCCCCCAGCTCCTCGCCCGCCCCTTTTGCCTGTCAGGATGAGGCGGCTGAGGCGGCCCAGGGCCGGCGGCGGAGGCTGAGGCGGCGGCCCCTGTTGTGCTCGCTCCGCTCCCCTCGCCTGACTTAGCGGGCCCGGCCTCGGCGTGAGCTGGCTCAGCCATGGCCCAGCCCGGGGCGGCGGCAGAAGAGTCGTCGACCGAAGGTGAGGAGGAGGACGAGGAGGGGAAGCCCGGGCGCGGCCTGCGAAGGCTTACCTGGGCCTGGGGGGTCGCGTGTGTGTCTGTGGGGGGCGGGCAGATGGCGCTGGGGATGCAGGCCAAGGAGGCTTGGAAGGGGGGCGGCGGAAGTGTAGCCCCACCCCCAGGGGGGGTCTCCCCTCTCCCCAATATCAAGCCCCTTACACCCCCTGTTCGTGCCCCCCCACCTTTTAAATTGTCACTTCCCTTACCTCCCCCCCAGCGGTTTCTCCTTAGCAGTCTCTTCCCTCCACATCACAGGACTATTTCAAACCCCCCCCAAAATCTCGTGCTTTACTTTATTCTTCTCTCCCCCCCCCCTGCTCCAGTAATGTATCTCCTTCTCCTGCCCCACCACGACAGGCATCCGCATGCAACTCCTCCTTTTGCTTCCCTAACCCTAACCCTAACCCTCCCCCTGTACTATCTCCTTATCAGTCTTCTCCCTGTCTCGTGCTTTATTTTATTTCTCTTTTATCCTCCCCGCCCCGTAATTTATCTTTCTCCTGCCCCCTACCCCGCCAAAGTCATCGCCTTGCAATTACTTCTATGCACTCCCCCCCCCCCCCAGCCTACTGGTTTCTACTTAACAGTTTCATCCTATCTTTAAGGAGTGTTTCTCTCCCCCATCTTGTGCTTTACTGGTTCTCTCTCCCACCCACCCACACCTATTAATTTATCATTTTCCTGCCCCACCACTACAGGCATCACCACCCCCAGCCTACTAGTTTCTACCCTCAGTAGCTACTCCCTTCAATCCTCTGTGCTCTGTGTTTTTCTGTCTTACTCCCCTCATGACGAATCTCCTGAGTTTGTAGCACCTTAAAAGAATAACATTTATTGTGGCATTAATTTTTGTGGATTGGAAATCCAACATTCAAATTACAGTTGATCTTAAAACCATTGCTGGCAAAATATTCCACCACCACCACCACCACCCCCTTTTTGCAGCCATATACAGCCCATTCCTTTAGCCTACTAAGCCCTGTGCAAAAATGAGCCCAATGTTCCATGCAACAAACACTTCAAGCTTTCCCCCTTCTGCCCAGTGGGCAGCCTCAGTTCCCTTTTCCTTCAGCTTCATGCTGTTGGCAGTTGCACATCTGCAGCCCTGGGTTATCCCATGTTTCTGAAGTTGTGGTTGACCTGTAAGCCTTTGGTGAAATGAACAAGACAGATCCCGTGGTTGAATTCTTCTTGGAGAGTAAAGGTAAAGGGACCCCAGTTGTGACCGACTCTGGGATTGCGGCGCTCATCTCGCTTTATTGGCCGAGAGCTTCCGGGTCATGTATTGGCCGAGAGCTTCCGGGTCATGACAGCTTCCGGGTCATGTGGCTAGCATGACTAAGCTGCTTCTGGCGAAGCAGAGCAGCGCACGGAAACGCCGTTTACCTTCCCACCAGAGCAGTACCTATTTATCTACTTGCACTTTGACGTGCTTTCAAACTGTAATGAGAGTCAAAAGACTCTGTAGAGTTGGGTTGTGGAGTTGAATTTTGAGGGAGAAGTGGGAGTGTGAAGGAAGAGTGTGTGTGTGCGCGCGTGCACATACATGCAAGTCCCATGTGGTAGCAGAAGTGCTCTTTCTGTACAATGAAGCAGCAGTTATTTTAGCTGGTGTGACACTACTATTGAAGTGTGCTAATGGGATTTACCTGGATAAGGATGTGCCCAAGAAAATTTATATTATGCATAATACAATACAATACAATACAACATATTTATGTTACTTGCATCTCCTTAGGAAAAAGTCAGGTAATGAGGGGCATGATAGAGGTGCATAAGATTCTATATGATGTGGAGAAAGTGGATAGGCAGGCATTTTTCTTCCTCTCTCTTGATACTAGAGCCCAGGGCTGTCCAATGAAGCTGAATGTTAGAAGATTTAGGACAGACAAGGTGCTTCATCACACAGCACACATTTAAACTGTGGAATTTGCTCCCATAATTCCGTTCAACAAGATGTAGAGATGGCCAGCAACTTGGATGGCTTTAAAAGAGGATTACACAAATTAATGGAGGATAAGGATAGAATTAATGTTCTGACTCCACCTTTGAAAGCAGTGAATACCAGTTGCTGGGGACCACAAGTGCTGGAGTGCTGTTGTGCTCAGGTCATGTCTTAGGGCTTTCTGTAGGCATCTGGCTGGCTGGCCACTGTCAGAACACATGGGTTGAACCAGGTGGGCCTTTGACCTGATCTAGCAAGTTTCTTCTTATATCCTTATTCTGCTTATCCACTACTGCTGGGCTCTCAAAGAAGTTTGCAATAATTAACAGAAAAGTAAAACAGCTCTAAAACAATAGATTGTAAAACCAACAAATCAGATTAAACTAACAATGCAATAAAAGTTGTTGCTACTGTTCAATAAAAAAATAAAAAGGACTTCTGAAGCAGGAAGGACTTAACAATTGTTCTAAAACAAGGAGTGAATTGGACAGGCCCAAAGGATTGAGTTCGTAAAAAAGCTGAGCCAAAACAGAAAAACTACCACTTTACACATTTCCACCAGTGAAGACACATAGAGCAGGGCTTCATCTACAGATTTTTAGAAGATGCAGGTGTGGGAGACATATTTGATAAAGGACAAATACTATTTCATGTTTTGAGTGTAATTACTAGCACTTTAAATTTGACATGAAGGCAAATGGGCAATACAGTCCTACCTCGGAAGTCAAACAGAATCTGTTCCAGAAGTCTGTTTGACTTCCAAAACATTTGGAAACCAAAGCACGGCTTCTGATTGGCTGCAGGAAGCTTCTGCAGCCAATCGGAAGCAAAAGAAGTTCCATCAGACATTTGGCTTCCAAAAATAGCTCACAAACCAGAACACTCACTTCCGGGTTTGCGGTGTTTGGGAACCAAAATGTTCAAAAACGAAGCTGTTCAAAAACCAAGGTACGTGTTCTTCCTTAATAATAGCTACATAATGTTCTCTCTGGCTACAATGGTCAGGAGTTCAGCTGCTGCATCCTGGATCATAGGTAATTTCTTCACACCATTCAAATACAGCCCCATGGTAGAGTAAACTGCATTAATCCTGAAGAGTGATACAATAGTCAGCTGTCTCTTCCCAAGAAAAGGGCGGAGCTAGCAAACAGTACAGAACACTTGGTTCCTGAGAATCAAGTAGCAACACAGAGTTTAGGGTTATGTGACTGACAATACCTGTCATGGCAATATGGATTTATTTCTATGAGGATGTCTACCCTACTCATCTAATAATATCCATCACAAAGTACCTCATAACAGAAAATGGTGCTTCCACCTTAGGCAGGACAGTGTGAAGGACCACTTCATCAGATCTTAGACAGTAGGCAGGCTGTTACATGAGAAGGTGGTCCTTCAGGTATCCAGGACTCAAGCCACTTAGGGATTTAAAAGGAATTACTAACACTGTGAAACCTATAAACAAATTGGCAACCAGTGCAGCTGAGGCTGGATAGGTATCTTCTTCTTACTTGTAAAATGGTCTTCCATAAACACAGTTTTAACAATGAGTCCATAAGTGACTGCGGAGGCCAATTCTGGACCCACATGTCCTTCCACAGTGGGGACATTGGTTCCCGGGCAGGAGTTGATCACGGTGTGGATTTGCCAAGCATGCCTTCCTCTTAGCACGTTTCTCCCTTGCGTTTTGAGTTTGAGTGTCTTCAAAGTCCACAACACCTTTGGTGAAGGCTGTTCTCCAACTGGAGTGCTTGCAGGCCAGTGTTTCCCAGTTGTAGTATAATTTTTTTAGATTTGCCTTGAGACAGTCTTTAAACCTTTTTTGTTGACCACCAGCATTACACTTTCCATTTTTAAGTTTGGAATAGAGTAGTTGCTTTGGAAGACGACAATCAGGCATCCGCACAACATGACCAGTCCAACGAAGTTGATGTTGGAGAATCATTGCTACAGTCTTCACCATACTGGTGCCTAGTTTTGGACTAAAACGCCATTCATCCACAGCCAGCGCATCCTGGAGAGCACCAGGCTAGATAGGCTTGTGTAATGTTATCCCATGGGCCCATTAACATCCTTCCAACCATTTTCTGGATCACTTAAAATTTCCTAACACTCTTCAAAAGGAAACCCATATAGGGTGCATTACAATAATACATCCTGAATGTAATTAAAGGATATGTTACTGTAGCCAGATCTGACATCCTCACAAATGATGCATACTAGCCTAAGATGGGCAAAGACCCTTTGGGCCATCACTGCCACCTGTGTATCCAAATACAATAGTACCTCCAGATGATGAACCAGATTCTTCAAGGGAAGTACTATCCCATTCCAAATGGACTGCATCCCTGTTCTGCAGTCTGTTCCCTTCTGATCAGAATCACCTCTGTCTTGTCTGGAATAAGCTTCTGTTTATTGGCCCTCACCTAGCCTGTTTATACCAGAATGTAAAGATCCTTAAGATAGTCTTTTCTTTGGAGCTTCTTAATGTGCCTGCTCTACTCTCCCTCTTCACTAGCTATGTAAAGATTTGAGAAGCCTATTTTCAGAGGGATGAATCTGGAAAAGTACTGTATTTTTCGCTCTATAACACGCACCTGACCATAACACGCACATCGTTTTTAGAGGAGGAAAACAAGGGAAAAAACATTCTGAATGAAACAGTGGATGTATCATTTTTGTGCTTCATGCTGTGGCCACAGACATGTGATCTGATGGTGAATTTGGGGTGACCCAATGCAAAAATCCTGAGAATCCCTGTGGATTCATGCTTTGTAACCACGTTTTTGCACCATTGCAGCCGCAGGGAACAGTGGGTGCGTGATTTTTGGGGGGCAGACTGTAGCCATGGACATGCTATGTGATCTGATGGTGAATTTGGGCTGACCCAATGCAAAGATCCTGAGGATCCATGTGGATCCATGCTTTTTAACCACATTTTTGCACCATTGCAGCCCCAGGCAACAGTGGGTGCGTGATTTTTGGGGGGCAGGCTGTAGCCATGGACATGCTATG